TACTGTATAAACAACTCCTTTATCTTGAACTTCAGCATTTCTGTGCTTCCAAGAAGAGTAAAAACATCTGGTTAAATTACTGTGTTCAAGTCCAATATGCAGGCAAAATCCTGTATGAAGTGCATATAAAATAAACGATGGCTTCAATCCTTTATGTTTTTCCAAATGTTCAGTGTGACCAGTCTGTTGAAATCGCATCTCTGATACATGTCAACACAATGATAACTGATGTACTGAAATGCTTCTTTTCCGAATAAAATGAAGTTCTGTTCCTGTTCTACAGCTCCCAATGTTTTAAACTTTAATTGTGTTATGTGTGTTCCCCCCTCAAAGCCCCCAAACCGGAACGGTACAAACTGTTGCACACCAGCGGCGATGGCTCCAAGGGACTGGCTGGACGGAGTTGTCATGTGTCTGCCTGTCTACACTTGCTGTGCAGAACATCCTCTCACCTGTACAGCAGGCACAGACAGGCAGTCGCATGACAACCCAGCCTGAGGGACAGCCGCCAGTGGGAAACCGCTCTGACACACCAGAGCATCTTCACCAACAGCTCCAGCCAAGAGTCACTCTGGACCTCAGACGGCCGGTCAGTAACCAAGCCACGTACTGCAACCCACCTAGAGTCAAAACAACACTGCCTATAAAATATAATAAAACCCACTGCTGAAATTTTTACTGTGCTTCCTATAGTACTCTTTTCCTAGTTGTTCTCACTAACTCACTAACAATAAGTTTTATTTATATGTAACTTTGTGGCACCATTGTATGTTTCATCCTCCCATTTACTTCTCGGGTGTAGCTCGAGTAACTCACATTATTAACTAGATTTTTGTCGGTATAAAAACCACTAACGTTCCTGCTAGCCACACAAGCCGAGAGCAGCTTGTTGTGTGGCAAGTTAATTCTATAAATATTAGAGTAACTTCTCCCCTTTCAGCTCTCTCACCTCCTCAGTTATTTTCATATCTCCCTCCCAAACCACACAGAATTTTACAGTTGGAATAAATTGTGAAGTTATAATGCAAAATGCATTTATCATAAGATGCTGCTACTACTATCCTTTCCTACTGAAACAGAAGGAAAATATTTTATTTGGAAATATAACTAAAGGCGATTTCTTCACTGAATGTAAATTTCATATTTTTAGCAGTTCTCCTAGAGCCCAGCCTTGCATCCTTAATGCACACCAATAATGCCAGAGAAATCTCTGGATGCTTTAGAATGAATAATGAAATCACATTCTCTGACCATACCCTGTAAAAATGCTACACCACTTTATAAATGGCATCCGTCTGTTGGCAACAAAGAGCTCTTTGATTCACGAGATGGAATGGTGTTCCATATTCCCAAAGTCCATTTTACTCTAAAGTAGAAGTAGATAATTCACAAACATCAAATTTGCAGGTTGACTCTCAAATGAACCTTAGCATAAAAGCTTACAGCTTTTTGTACTGCTTAAGAAAGCAGTAACAACAGAGAGCTAAAATGCTCAGATTTAATCTTTTTCCGTGTGTAGGTATGCCTTATAATAGTTTAGCTAGTATTACATGGACTATGATAGAAAACTATTATTTCTTAGGTCACTGAATATGCTAATCTTGCACTTTTTTTACAACAGTCTCAAAGTGGTGCACAGTATTTTCCTCACTTGATTTTAAGCAAGTGGAAATGCAAAAGTTATTGTACCGGTCATGCAGCAAAGTAATGAACACAAGCAACTGTATGCAGGATCAGAAACTAACTCAGATTACTATTTCTGTAACTAATAGCAAATACTGCTTCACACACACTGCTCAAACATAAACTTGGTATTTCCATAATTACAAGCCTAAAAAGCATTCTTAGGCACTGATTCCCATCTCATCAAGAAATAAGATCCTGCTGTATAAGCAGCAACAAAACCATGTCAAGAAACCAATCATTTATTTTGTAATACTGATATAATACAATAAATTCTGAAATCTATTGCCAAACTAACTTGCTTCAAAATGCATCCCACTGTGGACTCTTCACTTACAAAAGCTGCAGCTCGCAAATAAAGGAAATCATTTACGTCCTTCTAATGGCACTAGCATACAACCACTTGCATTCGGAGTGATTTTCATCCGAGTAAATTCCAGGCTACAGAAAATGGGCTCAGCTTACACTAGAGGGGGTACACAGCTCTAGAGCTCCTAGCAAGCACTCCAGCGGTGTAAAGCCACAGCATTCCTTCCTCGGCGGTAGATGCGCAAAGGGAACAAACTCTCTGCTGTGGCAGGAGAACAAAGGTGAGACCTGGCTTTCTGCATCGTCCCCAGCTGTGATGGGGGGACTCTCGCTACTGTGCCAGGACTGCACAAGTGCCCGGCCTCAGCAGGAGGCACAGGGGATCTGAACTCCCTGCGACCTCACAGCGTGCACAGCCATACTGAGCCCAGGCACAGCCCAGACACGTAAACATGGGTATCACTTCACACATCACTGACGACTACATATCTTACAGGGTGGAAATACAACAGCATACAGTCATTTCAATAATCATCTGAGAACAGGATGTGACAACTACCAAAGCAAGCTGAAAGTGAGGAGAACATTTTAAGGAGACAAAATGTAATTATAAATTTGGAATTCAGCCAGGAGATCAGATACTTGCTTCTTTATTTTCAGAAGCCAATGGTTCTGTTTTTGAAACATGTAATTGGTCTTTTGATTAACCTAATGGTTAAGCTCTGGCTTCGACCATCTGTAGAAAGTATCTACAGCAGAATTTACCCACTTTAAGTCCTACTGAGAATAAAAACCAAAAGCGAACAAAAAAAAAAAAAAAACCCAACCAAACAGAAAAAAAAACACCCAGACAACAACCCACATCATAACTTTGTGAACTCTTGCCCAAGACAGAATAACAGAATAATCAAATTATACAGCAAATCTGTATTTAAGGAGGAATTCTTCCTCCACCAGCAAAGCATGGAATACTATGCTGTTATCTTCTCTCACCGCTCTACAACTCCTGAGTGATCTCCTATATTGGCTTGAAGAAACCACTAGTATTTTCATGACCCTCAAAACACAACTATTTGGCAATTAAGAGACAGTATTTTAAAATATACATATGGAAATCAGACAGTGGCCAATTCCTTCCATGTACTATTCTGAGATTCCCAGGTGACACTTTCTAGCACACCATCAAAACAATTTAAAGTTGCATAGCAGAAGATTTACATTCCATAAATATTTTCAGGACTTTTTATACAGCACACCAAGAAATCAGACTCAAAACAAACACCAAAACTGCTTCAGAAATTGCCACAGTACTTCTCAGATGCACCTCCAAGTGCTTGAGACAGAGCATAGTGAGGGATGTTAATCATACTGCATCACTTATTTTAGTTACAGTTACCAGTACCTAATTTCTAGTAGTTTTGTGGTACATAACAAAACCAAACAGCTTCAAATATTTAAATTCATAAAGGCACCTTTGCATTTCTTTTAAATTAATTTTTATGTCATTGCAATAAAATACTTCAAATTATATTTCAGTAATCTGAGAATAAAACTTCCCCTCTTGACACTTAGAACTTGGCTCCTCCCCTCTGCCTGACACGCACTCATTTTCCTGTTACCGGAAATATATACGAATCCCTTTAAACCTTAAAGGGGCAAGAGGAAAAATTTTCAGGATAAACCTGATTTGTCCTTCAGTCTTAACGTCTATTCCAGAATGGCTGCCCACTGAGGAGAAAACCACTACTGACCAGCACAGTTTCCACCATCATCAGTATTACTGAAATAACTGCCTATAGTAAGTACCACATTTGGGATTTGCAGGACTCAGCAGAGCTCTGGCTTAGGTACATGCACTGCAGGACCTCCCGCCGCTGGTTCTAGGAAATCCACTGCAGTAAAACACTAAGTTTAAACAGAATACGAATTGTCTGCACAATCCCCATCAACCAACTCCTTGGGTCTTTTTTGGGTAAGCCAGTGTTTTGATTATTGCTTAGAATAAGATGGAAATATTGAGTGATGTTTTAGAGCTCATTTAAAACTGTTTACCTCTGTCTCTTCCATCCAATGAACTGCTTCACTTTAAAAATCCCTACCTTTTTTTCTGAAAACATTCAATTTTAAAAAAAAAAACACACACAAAAAAAAATAGGATTTTTTTTTTTTTTACATGTAGTGTAGCCCAATTTTTCTAAAAAAACCCACACAAACCTTAAAAAAAACCACAAGGGCTTTACTATGAAGCTAACAGTGCACATAATCACATTTTAACATTCAAGAATTAACAAGACTGCTGGAGTTTGAGACACAGCATATCATTACCGACACTGTTGAAAAAATAATTAGATGAATTGCCTAACAACACAAACAGTAAAGTGAACGACCTGGATGCCCAGTTTATTATAGAAATGCTTTTTCCAGTTCTCAGATTAATCACCTCAGATGTACTGATCATCAGTGACACTTCTTACCCAGGTACATTTTTTGTCAAATTTGAAAATCTATACCGCTTACTTACAGAACTCTGCAGACAGGCTTTTTCTCCTCTCAGAATATTAGGCAAGAGAATAACTATCATCATTAAATCAAACGCCATAGTTACTTTCAGATGTAACTTTACCTAGACAATTTATGATCAACTTACAACAGATGTGAAGAGCAGTCCAAGCAGGAATTGGACAATAACCAGAACATTCCAAAACAGGGTGGTTTGTTTTTGTTTGGTTTGACTTGTTTTTAAGCAAATGTGTGGAAACCATAGGAAGCGAGGAAAAAAAAGTAAAACAAACAAAAAACCCACCCCACGCAACACCCTGTGTATTTATGTTATCAACATTTCAATAGGAGTCTTAAAGGGTCAGCATTTTCCAAGAATCAAACCCACAAATTTTAAAGAAAACAGTCTGTACAAGTTGATTTACTATTTTAATCTAACATCAGAAGACTGAATACTGGTTTGTTGGGGTTTTTTTTCTCCAGTAGAAAAAAAAGTCTTAATTCCTTACCTCATCATCTTTATACCAGGACAAGCTTTCTGCAGTCAGAACGAACCAGTATTCCTTAGATCCTCCTTTCATGATGCCAATATTGTTGATGGTCAGCCAACCTTTCCGGATGACCTGTGCAAAGGTGCAGTCAGGCACAAGTTTATTTCATTACCACTTCACATAATTCCACTGCTTCATTCATTCTTTTAAATAAATACTTGCTAAATATAACAAGAATAGGTGATTTTTTTTCAGTCTCTGGCAAATTCAAGGAGTTTTTGCAGGTTTCTATCATTCAAGAAAAAAAGAAAAGGTAACACAGTGTTTTAATACATAAATACAGTGTTTACAGTCAACAGGCTGGAGAAAAGAGAGAAGTCTAAGTCTTATCATGATGTACTCATAGCAATTATGAGTGCATTAAGGATCATGCAAACTTACAGATTTTTTTGCTGTATAACAACACATTATAAATGTCCATATATGACTACTCTGTCCTAGTCTAATTGTTAGGATCATTTGTAAAACGGGATACTAGGAAAAGCAGCTAGATTGTGACTAAGTAACCTGTTTCTGGTACATCGTGGAATTTTCAGAAGGGGTTGAATAAAGTGACAAACAGGAAAGGTCTTCTACAGTTAATTTGAAATTAAGATAGGAAGCAGTAAGGCAAGGTATATAAGAGCTATTTTCTTCTCATAAGGTAGGAGAAGGAAAAAAAACTAACATGGCAACAAAAACCAGGGAAAAAATGGGTAAGGGAGAACTTTACAAAACTGATAAATAAAAAGCCAAAGATGAAGGAACAGACAGGAACAGCATATTTGTAAATAAGTAAAGGCCAAAAGGAAGACCAAGACCTATAATGCAAAGAGGAACAAAACAAAAAAGGAGGAATGAGACAGCTCCAGGAGTGTATAGGAGAGAATGGTGAAGTGCTGTGCTTTAAAACCCCAGCCCTGAATGAGGGTTGGCATATGGATGATGTCCACAACCAGGCAAGACAGCCCCTCCTGACTGGTTTTCACCCAGGGTCAGGCCAGCCTTGGGTGGGAACTGATGAGGAGATCATCACCAGGTTCCCCTCCCTTCCACATGACCTTGGAGGTGGGGCAAGATGCCAACTGTATGAGAACTGACTTTGCTTGTAGTGGAATCAGGAGAGCTGCCTACACAGAAGACATGCTGCGTGGGGATTCTGGTTGCCAGAAAGGCTCCTTGACTGCTCATAACAAGTGGAGTTCCCAGGACATCAGGGCAATATCACAAGTCTCCCTCTGGGAAATTACACCATGGACTTATGGCCTGGATACTTTCATCTGCCATGGCTTGGATCCTTGGCCAGCTTGCTCCCTTCTTCACATCCTACACAGTGAGTGAGTGTGCTAACATTCCTCCCTCCAGTCCTGCAACACTTTGGATTGTTTGCATCTGATTTAAGAGCAGAGGGAGGAATCTGGCTGTTAATCTGCCCGTTAATTATAATATCATTCTATTATCAGGCAAGTGGTCAACAGAAGAAATAGTTATGAGAACTTGTCCACTGATCATATAGAAACTTCCAGTTTTCTTGGAACTTATATTGCTTTCCAATACATACATAAGAAAGAAAATGTTCCTTTCTACCATATTCTGAACAGGACAACAAAACTCTCCCCATCACACAGATGCAGGGAACCCCCTCCATTCTGTTTCACCCCACAGAAACACCCTTTACTTGCCTATGAAGTATTGAGATGGAAAGAAATGCTTAAAGAAGCCCTTCGCACCTCCTTCAACAAGTTGCACAAGCACAAACTTGTGTCATCAAACATGAGTTTCCTTTTGTTTTTAGAGAAATACATGAGACTGTGACACTCCTCTCATAGGGTCTTACAAGACTAGTAACTCCAACATCAACAGATAACCAAAGAAAAACTTTGCTAAATATCTATTCATCTATAAAACCTGTAGAATTTGCATTCACTCCTATTCAGCATGGTGAAAGTATTGGTAATGCACACAATTCAAGAGTATCAATTTCATTTTAAATAAGATGATCATGTTTCTCCACTCACTAACAACAAGGCCAGCAGCATAAGAAAATCACTGAAGATCCAAAAACAGTTTTATGGGTTTTCAGCCTGTAGAAAATTGCTAAGAAAGCATTGATTTGGTTCTGAAGACTCAGTAAGCTAACTGGACATGATCCCATAGAGAGACTCAAGGGTACAGCATAAGCAGGCTGGATGGAACAGTCTGCACCACAAAGTTTTCTGCAGAAGTTGGTCACTATTTTTAAAATTTATATTCATTGGACAAATTAAAGAAAAAAAAAAAACACACCAAAAAAAACTCACAAAGTGGAAAGGGGGCATTACTGAGTACAAATAGATATGGAATGCTTGGCTGAGTGCAAGTTAAGTGAAACATACTGATATGAACTTCATTATCCATCAAATCTTCATTTTATTTTACAATGTTTATTGAAGTTAACTTTCACAACATGTGAAAAAACAACATGTATATGCAGCCAGTGTACTGGCCTTTGGGCAGCTGCCACAGAACAAATTGCAGAACCAAGCTAATTTCATTTTTTCTGCACTGAACTACACAAGGGCAAATGGAAGAAATTTAAGAAATTAAGGTCCTCCAACCACTTCAAGCTAGCTCTACAACAAGGTGAGCTATATTTGTACAGCAGGCTACATACTTCACAGCAAATGTGCAAAGGTAGTTATTCCATGTTATAAAGAAACTGAAGTAAGAGGCTACGAGAGAAGATGCTGTTGAACCATGCTGTCTACAACTGAAAATGCCACGTCACTCCCTATAAAGCACATATCCATGTGCAGGCAGCACAGAAAGCTGGGCCAGAACACTCCTGAAAACTGGTCTGGACACACATTTGAGAGAGGGTAAAAGATGTGAAGACAGATATCATAGTGGGGATGCAAAGATGGTTTCTAGAAGCAAACCAGTATGAAACACCCAAGTAGCATGTTCAAGAATCTTAGAGGTGATAAGCACTTGAAAAGGAAGGGAAGCACCACTCACTCCTTATTCCATTCAGTGTTTTCCATCATCATTAACATCGGCTTCGTAGCACATTAACAAGACTCAAAGTTTCTCAATTTGACAAGAATGAATTTGTCACAGAGGTCTCAGAACAGACCAGGCCAAGATTTTAAAATCTAAACTATACAAGCCATTTAAGAAGTGATGAAGCTTTTAATACTTCTAATGTAGGAAATACATCAGCTGCATAGCTCCAAAAGGCTGTCTTGCTCTACACCAACACGTCTCCTCACAGATACATAACCATCACTGGCTGTGGAAACAGGCTGACTTGCTAATACAAACATTGCTCACCATCTTGTAAAGGAAGGAATTTGCCAGTTGTTTCCTCAAAAATCCTGTGTGCTGAGGATTAGATCCAGCTGTCACTTCCACACAACACCGCCTGGCAAGAAGGGCATCAAGCTATAGCAGTATCTCATTGTTTTTCAGGTGCAAACTTTTAGACCTGTTTACCTATACTCTTCTGGGAAAACAAGGTATTGTCTTCTCTAAAATATCCTGGACACTACAACAGATCATAATTATCCAAAATACTTGGAAGCAGTTCCAGAGGACATCAAGAGAGAAAAGATGATCTTAACTTGCTAAGCCTCATGTGCTTTTCATTGAATTGTTCCTGTTTCCCAGGCAGATTTTGTTAACTACAAAAAGCTACACTTTAAAAATACCCACTACCAGCATGCGGTCAGGGGGACAGAGGTTTGATCAGGGTGTAAGTGCAAAACAAAGTGAGATTAAGCAATGGGTTTACTTCCTATAGAATCTGAATTACACCTTAGATTTTAGTCAATTTCTCAAAAAATAACTCAAGCTATATTTTAGAAATAAGTGTCCTTCCATGGGTAATAAGGAGCAAAGATTTTCAAAGAGACTTCTGAAATTAAAGAAAACAAACAAACAAACAAACAAACAAAAAAGCCCTGAGGGGTGAGGATAGTTGTTTGTTGTTGTTGTGGGATTTTTTGTTTGTTTGTTTGTTTTTTAGCTAATGTATTAGATGTGCTGTATAGTCCTTCAGCTTGAAAAATGAAAGTAATGTGCTTCATTATTGTTTTCACTAGTTCATTTTCTGGTTGGTTTGGATGTAAGAGAACCACTTCAATATTTTCTACCATATTTCAAGATGTCACTCTCCGTAAACCGGATATTATAGTGACATGAGTTCTGAACGTCAGGAAGGTGAAAAATATGGACATCACTAGAAGCCAATGAAGACAATATTCTGGCTGGCAGTTGGACAGGATGAACAAGAGATGACACAGTTCCTTCCTTCAGGATCCTGATACCTAATCTGGGTGTCTGAAAAATGAAACTTAGAGGGTACAAACACACATGAACATGCCAAAAGGAAGTAATTTTCTGATAGTTCAGCTGCACAAAACCCAAATTATATCTGTTGTTCTTACTCTCCACTTCATGGATAAACAGGAAAGCAGACTCTGACACAATAAGTACCTTTTATGTGTTGCTGGATAACTTACTCATTCCATTAAATCAAGTAAGGTATTTGTAAAAGAAGTACAATAGATAATCAGAAAGTGTTCCATTTCTTTAAAATATGTATTTGAAAGATGATCTCAAGATAAGTGAGAGCTAAGTGAAATTGGCTGGGCAGAGTGTGAAAATCACAAGACTGGTTACTTCCACAAGAATACTAGTAGCAGCATTTGTTAACATGACTCTATTAAAATTGTCTTACCTAATTCCACTGTAATAATTTTGAACAGAAAATACAACTCCCAGCACTACTCTATCTTCTTATCACTGTCATAACACAAGTTACCAAATAGCAAGCACATTGAGAGAACTGCTTATAGCAGGGGGGTTGGACTAGATGACCATACATAGAGCAATGCCACCTTCATTTTTAAAGCTTTATCAGGAAAGGGAGTTCTAAAAGACTAAATTTTAGTCACAAAACCAAATCTCAGCACACAAAATACACAATTAAGAGTGGGTCAGCCAGATCAGGAGCCAGATCTTGCCAGCGTGCTCTGTAAAACCAAGCATTATAGTGATTATTTCAAGCAAATTAGAAGACAAGACTAACCTGTGGCTTAAAAAGAAACTTTGTGGAGTCAGGTCAAAACCTCAGGCGGTAGCAAAGAAAAGACAAACAAAAAAGGCCAAAGATTAAGCGTGAGAGAATAAATTAGTAGTAGAGGGAAAAGGAGCAAAACCATGTTAAGAAGAACTGGCATTACACTTCTTCCAAAAACACAATATTGCTGCGCTCATCTTATTTCTGAGATAGGCAGAAATAGTTAATAGTTATATCTGCATCATTCCAGTTCAAAGCAATGAATTGCAAAAAAAGAAAAGCAATGGATTGCAAATGAGCACCCTGCGACTTTGGGAAAGCTTAATGCTCTCCATCTCCCAAAAGATCCAATTCAACTGCTATTAGAATCAGCCTAGTGCCTAGATCTTTTTTCTTTATCGAACATAAGTTTCATTTGTTTGTTTGAAATAACTGATAGAATTTGATGATGTGGCAACAAACTAGAAATATGTGTAATGTTCTCATCATAGATATTACCAAAGAATTCACATGATACAGAAATTTACTTCTCACAATTAACCATCACTGAACCAGGAGTAACTTGTTATAAAATTAACTGCTGTTTAGACAGTTAATTCTAATTAGTAATGTTAAAGGCATTCACATATTTATTCACTTAAGAAGTGGAAGGATTAGAAAAGAGTGTGTCCACAATACACCGATCCTCCTGGTGCTATGAAAACGCTAAAAAGGCTTTACATATTTCTAAGTTTATCCATAAAACTCACTTTTTCTATCAGAAGTAATTCCTTTACATAAACCAAATACCAAGAACAGTACTTGTACCCATAAGCAGCGTGTTCATTACTCAAGAGCTAATGTTTCCCTTCAATTACCAGAAAGTTATTTGCTCACCTTTCATAAAGAGGTTTACTATGAATAGAGGCACTCATATCAGATAAAAACTGCTTTCCAGTTATATAACAAAATAAACACCAATTAGTCATTTTAGTTTATGAAACTCAGTAAATCATAAAAGTATTCGTTTCATTCAAAGCTTTCTACAACATTTTAAGTTATACTAGTTCATACTTGTAACAGCAGGTTAGTAGCAGTCAAGTGATGAACTGCAATTATACATTGTTGAGGAAGTGTTATAGACAAGACAATTTAATATTAAATAATTTATTAGAAAGTATTCAACAAACCAATGTGTTAGAGACAAACTTTGCCCCCTGAAAAGCTAAATGAAAAAGCAACAATAAAGCTTACAGAACTTAGCTCGTACAATTTGCCTTGAAGGCGGTAGATTGGTTCCCTGAAATAGCAAATTGCAAAAGTGAAGTTTTATTTCAGAAACATTCTCATTCTTTTCAACTTCAAACAATTAACTTACAAGCATGTTTATTATCTTTAAAATAAAAGGTTCAGCAAAGTCCTTTATACCCAAAGTAATCAAGTTTCAACATTTAATTTAAAACACCAAGGTTCTTCTCAACTTCTTTAGAGAGAAAGCATTCAAAAATCATTCATTTTATTTGTATATTTTTGAAGAGTTAGATAATTGGTTGATGGTCCTTATATGGAACACTCCAAAGTGATGATGGTTGTTGTGTTTGACACATGTTCCGGCACAGCTAGATAAGAAGGAAATCTCTCCTCAGCGGGAAGAGACTAGTCTTTGAAGTAAGTTCAATGTTTAGGCCTTTCAACTTTTTCATTTTAGTCCAAACCATATATTACATCAAAAATGCCATTCATGCTGGTCAGGCTGTGGGGGACCATCACATACAAGAAGTTACTGGATTATTTTAACTGATGTCTCAGAAATAACTACCAATTCTTTGGTGGGAGGAAGAGATTGGATTTCTATCCCCAAAAACATAAATAAGTTTTCAAAAAATGCTAGAACTCACACCTACAAGAGCAGAATAAGAGACTTTCTGAAACGTCAGGTTTATCCAAGTGATAAGGTCTGAGGAATCTTAAAATCAGTGGTAACAGTTGAAAACCTTGACCTTTGTAAGGTTTGAAAAGCCCTCCTCTCCTTCTATGGAGAGCACTGTTTGACCAAAACAGACATGAAAACTTCAGAAAGATGTTCAATACTGGTAATTATTTAGACAAAATTTCACTGTCTTATTTTTACTAGCAATTTTTATTTTCTTTTAAAGTATGCGCTAATTCCTTTACATTTTCTTTCCATATAAGACTTTGCAAAACCATCACAGTGAGCAGAAACCCTCAAAGCTATGGTACATAGCGACATTTTTGTGAAGTCAACTGGAAGTTTTCAGATGAGGTAAAGGCAAATCTACTTTTCCTTGTTGAATTGTCTCTTCACTGCTATTAAGATGTGAACATGTAAGAACTAGCAAAACAACTGTGGCAAAGCACACACAAACAAGTACTCACCAGCATTTTGGATTCTGAAATTCACAAGTTGGTAGTTAATGACACAATACATTGACATGTAACATGAAATATTCTATGCACAGCATGGGAGAGGAGACACTAACCAGCAGCGCAAGCAGTAGCAGAAATATTAATAAATTATGCTAACAATGAAAGTCATGTGCCTCTGAAAAATTCAGTAAAACAAGGCGATGGTGACACATTTTAAATATGTTTGAAGCAGGAAAGATAAATGATACACTCACAACAAATAAATGCAGTCAAAAGAAAAACAAAACAAAACAAAAACCAGCTTGGATTAACTTGCACATGCTAGTATCCATCCTCTGTTAGGTGCATACCTGATTTCCCACTGCACTTTTGTTAACCTGACTGCTTCTCTGTTGGGCACTAAGGGAAGCAGAGGAAAAGAGTTATACTGAAGAAACTCAAACTAAGCCAGTTCCTGACAAATAAATAGTTACTTCCAATTCCAGCACAGAAAGCTAGAGTAACAAAGAAACACAGTAAAATCATTGTGCATATGTGTGTATTTCAACTACTTTTTCTGATGGTATAGGAATGCCTGCTGATATTTGCCTGCTTAGGACAGAAGGGACATGCACAGCAGACAGCTCCTACTAATCATCTGCTTTGTAACAACATCCTACTTGGACTGGTAAAGGTTACTAAAAGCACAAGAGAAATTATGGCTCATGTGGGTAACTTTGGAAACATTAGCCTCTATAAATATTCAAAAGAGACAAAAAGCAAGTCATTTCTGTTATTTAGTGCAGTACAACAGAAACCTCCCCTGCTGGAGGCTCCTTATTAGCTTTGTCTTGACAGTTTGCTTTGGATATTATTCTAATATTTATATGCACTTTGCGGGTGTAAATATAACCAATGGATGAAGCCACCACAAAGCTGGTTCAAAAAGCTGGAATCATATAATAAGGGAGCATATTTCAAATTAAACCATATTTAAAATAATTCGCTCAATTCTTGAACTCTGGCAACCCCAGAAATAAAACACACTCCTGTTTCAAAAACATAAAAGTTGTCATTAATTCTAAAAGCATCTGCATTATGTGGTGGTTTTTAAGTGTTAGGCCACAAAATTAAAATATGGCCGGAAAGAGGAAGAAGAGTGTTCAGAGAGGAGACTTGGGCTCCCACCAGAGCGGCCACTGGTGACACAAAGTTTTGTTTGGATTAGATTATACCATTTCACCAGGCAGTAATTAACTGAAGAAAAAAGCATACATACTAGATCAGCTGCAAACACTGCTCTGAGAGACTAAAGAGAGAAATATGTGCTCAGATCACAGCCTATGGGCCAATCTTGCACCTGTTTTGTGCACAGCTGCTGGTCCAAAGAGTTGCTGAAGCACCACAGTCAGCTATGTCCCAACTAACCCTAACCCTGCCCTTCAGACCATACTCTATCAAACCAGCAGTCCATATGCAGTCCATAAAAAACTGCACAAGGATGTTTATTGTGTGTACTATTCACTGGGATAGTTCTCATAATCTGATATGATTATCAGAGATAATCAGATAATATTCAGAGATAATCATATCTCTGAATGATTGAGATAGATCTCTCAATCATTCAGATCCCTTTGACCAACACTTTGACCAAATATCTCCTGTGCATCATCTGAGTTGCATAAGCTTTGATGTATAAATTATGAACAAAGGCATGCACACAGAAAACACAGCACTAACCCCTCACCAGTTCCAATCTGTTGTTTGAGAAACATACAGAGATGGCTTTAAGAAAACTTATTGCCATTCTTTTGGTTTGGTATGATTTTAATCGCCTTAGCAAAGCTAATTAGACCTCTAACATCATACTAGGAAACCCACGCCTTTTAGCCCAGCAATTCGTCCTCTATTTACCGTTCTAAATACATATTACTCTTTGTCTAGATGGGAGCACATATCTGCGTCCAAGTTCCACCAATTGGATTCAAACCCATTGCCCACATTTTACCTTTGTTCTGCTAAATGAGACAAAAATTAATATTCCAAGAGTCCACAATTTCATAGCTATGCAAAGTTGTTCTAAATACTGATGTTTTTAAATCCTTCTCAAGTTAATTCACATCACTGTGCCTGCCTTAGGCCCTGCAATGCTACAAGGTAGTTTGAAATGTCTTGTGTTCTCATTCTTACAAACAAGGTTCACAGGCCTTACACTTATAAAGCCACATGAGACAGCTGGCTAAAAGACTCATCAAAAAAAAAAAAAAAAAAAAAAAAGGAAACACTAGGGAATCTGGGGAATCTATAATGCAGGATGTTGAGATACTGCAGAAGCCCACATGCTACTCAAAATTATTTAATTTTCCAGTTCTTACAAAATTGCTATAACAATAATAGGATTATAGTTTAAAATGTGTATTTTTCTACTATTTAGCTCATAAATTGATATACTTTACATTTAACATTGTTCTTAGTTATCCAAGTTTTCTCTTCCAGACAGGAAGTCAACAAAGATAATTCTCTTCCCATCATTTTCAACCTACAGAAACACTTGCTTGAACTTATCAGTGAACTTCAGTGAGGAGCCATTTGTTACCTGCTCATGTCCCATGCACAGTGTCTGGGGATTTCTACATCTTAACTGACTGAAGAGGAAGCAGCTTTCCCAAGACACTGAACCTGGGCATTGCAACTCCTTGGAAAAGATACAGCAGTGAAGACCATGGACTGAACTCCAGGCTCCAGCAGCAGCAGCCATGAGGGGGATTTTTCCAGAAGAGAGACAATGAAATACCTCCAGATATACCTGTCACTCCAGAATCCAAGACTATAAAACATGGAAGGTTCCAACCTGACACAAAGAAAATTCTTTTCATAACCAGGAGAGGCAAGCATTTCAACAGGCTGCATCAGCACAGTGAGACCAGAGAATCTCCGATTCTTTAAGTTTTCCAGATCTGATTGGACAAAGCCCTGAGTAACCTGGTCTGAACTCAGCATTGACCCTCATCTGAGCAGGACGTTGGACTATGTGACTTCCCAAGGTCACAACACACCACAAATATATACGGAGTGTTTTTAGCAGGCTTTTTCCTGTCAGAAAAGGATGAAGAGAAGTAAATAGCAGGCAGGTTGTTATCTTGACCTCTAGAAGGCCAGCTACCATTCCTTCAACATCCTGTCATTTGTCAAATGGACTGATAAAGCTATCTAGGACCTGCAAACAATTCTAGAGAAAGTTGCTCAAACAAACACATAAATAGTGCCTGGCTTTCCCTTCTCCCCGCTCATCTTACTGAACTTCATGTTTTAAACCTTCAAGGCATACTGCCAAAGACACAGGCCTTCCTTCACAATGCTAGCTAGGACAGGCCATAGTATAACACACACTGCGGTGCCAAGCTTTGTTGCCAGGATCCCACATGGATGAAAACTGTTGTGATTCCAAACACTGTTATAGCAAATATAGCATGGATATGACTGAAGGAACATTTATTCTTCAAAGAGTGAAGACATCTTTAATGTTTTTACTAGTGACAAAATGTTGGTATGAAGTCCCTGAGGCACAAATTGCTGGAAGCTGAGGAAGAACATTCTGGAGAATATTCTCACAGCCTTTTCAATTAAGTGAGGAGAACGTCAAACCAGGCCCTGCAAGGCATTCTGCTACTATTCTTCTCTACAGCCAAACAGCAGGCACACTTATAATTCAGTGACACTCATTATACTGTTTCACACGGAATCACAGCTCCTAAAATATGCATTAGCAACGATGTGGAAAGACCACCAATATCACACATTTCTGTGGTCCTAAAATGAATAGTGAGGGCATCAGCTTGGCAAAGCTGATTCCTGAGATGCATGTGATCCCAGATCAAGATACAAGCTTCAGTGAAACCAGGCTTGTGAACTGGGGTAAAAAAATCTAGAAGTAGGATAGAGTTCAACACTCTATATATTCAGAGAGACCATGATCCTGCACGTTCAGGACTTTGCAGCTTGCATCTTTACTGTCAGGACTTGCATTTTGAATTTTGTTTTTAGAAAAAAAAAAACCAACCACCCTAACAATGTCTTTATAACAAAGTCTCCATATACATACTTCGCAAAGCCAATGAAGTCTTCGTGGTTGGTGTTGATGTAAGAAACCTGGATATCAATCAGCAGCAGCACCTATTAGGGGAGATGGGAGAGCAAAGAAAAGGATGGGTAGGGTAGAGGAGAGAGATTGAGGAAAAGGAAGGGAGAAAACAATTTTTGAGTTTTCTTCATTATTAAACATTGCTTTCATAATCATTCAAGCCAAAAGCAACAAAATTTTCTATATCCTACCACTGCTGTTTGTGTGCTTGTTTAGTAAGCTAGACAACAGAAGAGCTATTCCCTATTTTTTTCCTGACAGATCTCATTTTTCATTATCTTGTTGCCTGTCCACTTCATTAAGATAATCATACAAGGCCAGAGAGAGTTTAACAGTATATAAGATAGACTCCAGTTCTACATTTTCCAAATTAACAAAATTCTGTATTTGTAGCATTCCAGCCAAGCCAACAAGGAAACTGAACCTTAAAACTAAAATCAGGGTATCTATATTTTCTTTAGGTACTACACAAGAAATTGATAGGTAAGCTGGCCACAGACCAGGAAAATGTACAGTCCAGGTACTAGACAGGCATTCTGGTGAACACAACTGGATGGAAAGATGGGCTAGTCAGTGAAATAACAGAATGAATGGTTTGTGTACTTATTACTTGCCAGTCCTTCAATAGCCCTAAGACAGAATTTGAAGTTGATAATCTAACTCTGAAAAGAACATGCTAAGATATTAGAAAAAAAGCTCACTTCCGCCCTTGAATAGCTCCTTGAGCATGCATGAGACTGCACTTTCTCTCCATCTTTTCAGACTTTCATTTATCAGCAGGGAGCAAGGAAGACCCCTGTTGCTGTTAGAATTTAATGTCTTCAAAGTCTACAGAATTTTTTTCTGCACAGCTCCTCAAACTTCTCCCAACTTCTTTATAATTTCCCATTTACAATTTGCCAGCATCACTCCCAACTTCTTTACAATGCCCAAAAGATATTAGGAGCCTCAGAGCAAAAGATAGTGGGGATTTGGGTCTAGCCAGTACCTCTGAATATGTCCTCACTACTGTTTTGAGTTATTAATGATAACTGCTAACAGCATGTAAAATGATGTGAATATGTGACAATAACCTATTGACCAATTCTTGACATTTACAGAAAGCTGGTGTTTTGTACTTTGTCATGGGACAATAGCCAGGTATGTGCACACAGTAAAGAACGGAATAATAAGAAGATGGACTTAATTATTCTAAGCAGCTTGTATCTTCTTCCAAATTTTGAAATAAGCAAAGTACAAGCAAGTACAAGCCCAGCAAATATAGTTTGTTTGTTTCTTTTTAATTATATTTAAGACTACATTCACAGCACAATTTAAAGGAAAAGGAGGAGGACAGGCTCCACAGCTTCCTAGCTTGCACAAGGACAGGACTACAGCAAAAGGGGTCCAGAACAACTTGGGAACTCCGCCTAACCTTTCTTCCCCCAATATTTCTGTTGTCACCCTCTGCATTCTTCAGAAAATAATTCCTGTTTCCACTTTCAGTGGATTTTCTCAAATGTAATCTAAGTTTTGAAGTTTCCTGGATTTGAGTGTTTCGCTGGGTAATGAATGTTCTAAAGAATTTTCTTTGAATTAACCTTTTTTTTAAATTTGAAGGAAAGCTGGTCACTACAAGAGTCCCAGTACAACTGCTTGTGGGCTTCACTGAAATTATGACATGGGATGGGTCTGTTAAAATGGAAACAAGGCAGAAAAAAGTCTGGGAATTTCTGTGTGTTTGTTTAATCATTAATCAATTTCCCACAAACAGCTGTTGTGGTAGAGCTAAGAAGATGGCACACTGGCACAGGAACAACCCAATGCTACTTTAAACTATCAATCCTAATCTTGAAAAAACAGAGTAAGATTTTCCGTAGCAATTCTAGTCTCCTCTGTCAAAACTCAATGGCACAAGGGCAATTTCTCTCCCATTCTAGAATGTGCAGCCTGCTGTGGGGGAGCAGAGGGGAAGAAAATCTTTCATTGTCTTACTGTACTTTGTACACAGAACGTTCCTCCTTCACACACTTACCCAAACTGTTAGACCTCCTATTTATTCTCACCTGATCCTTGGTCTTCTCTTCTCTTTCACGAATGTAGCCAGCAACAATTCTTTCTGTTTCCTCACACAACCTTGGGTATGTTGCCAACTGAAAAGTAAAATTAATAGAAATTCACAACTTCGGGGTGGCTTCAGTAGAATACAGAGGAGCCCCCAGCATTCCTCCTTAGAAGAAAGCAATTATTATAAATGCTTGGGCTAAAAGTTAACTGCACTATAAGCAAGCCTTTCCAGAAAAACTGGAGACACCTAAACCCTTGGATAGTTTCTGTGCTTTTCTTCCACGGAACACTGAGGAAAAGGCACTTTGGACATGTGAACCACAGTTTATCAGCCTTGGGGTGAGGTTTCTCCATGAACCCCTCTTCTACTGTGCTTAATTTCAGAGTGGTGCTTTATATGTTTCCAAGTCTCTTGTTCTTTGAAGGCTCCACCTTGTGGCAACACCCTTGCATCTCAATAACGATATTTAAAAATGTAAACAGCAAAGCACAACACTAAATTTGACCAATAGGACTGGGAAAAGAACCTGCACAATTAATTCAAGTGACATATTGTCCAAACTTTGACAAAAGTGAGGGGAAAAAAAAAAAAAAAACACAAACACACAAGGGAAAAAAAAAAAAAAACAAAACAACAGAAACTGCTCAAAATATTGCAAAGAATCTGCTTCTCTTTTCTCAAAATCATTGTCAGGCTTTCCTGTTTTAAGAAATAGTTCCCTTTCCTGCTCATTGGTATAAAATATACTGCATTATTCAGAAAAAATGCGAAGGATGTCACAGGGTGTTTCTTAACAACTCCAGCATACCTGCCCTCAAATCCCAGAGCCAGTCCTTGTACTTGCTACTATTATGGTACCCTGCACTGAGGCAGTGGGAAAGATGGATGAACAGAAGGTGAGGCAATCAAAGCCACCAGTTTGCTAAGAAGTCTACAAGGGTTCATGAGATCTTCTAGAATATCACAGAGTAATGGGAGAAACAAGAATTGAAAATCACCAACTGTTAGACATCAATGCTCTAGACAAGTGAGTTGTAGTATTTACAGGTGACAATTTGCCTATGAAAGCGAGAGTTGTGAGAGGGGGAAAAAAAGCCTCTTATTAATATATCTGACACGCTTCCCTAGCCACAGCTGGGGGGAGGGGTGTGTGTGTGTGTGAGGTTTCATTCTAAGAGTATACACCAACCCAAGCACATACTTCAGGAAAAACATCCCCAAATACTCATAGTAATGCTATGTTTAGTTTTGATGAGCAACTTTCTTATTTATTACACTTGCAGGATCTTAAGTTAGAAGTTTAATGGATGCACACATCTTTCCAATCAGGAAGTTCAGTGCTCAGCAGTTCTTTCCACTTGAAGTTCATTTTCTGTGCAGCAAGTTCATTTGTCAACACTAATACAAAGGTGTACAACACAAGGGAGATGAAGTCTTCCTAGCTTCCCACTTCTGACTTCTTGGCAGCTGGAGGTCAGATGATTTGGGGTTTGTGCATGAAAAAAATCACCTGAGAAGTCGAGGACTCATTACACTGCAAAGGACTGTGGTGTTACTCAGTAAAGTTTCAACATAGCACATTTTTCTTTATTTGATGGAGGTATCTCAACTTTTGAGGCCTTTGCTCTAGAAAATTTTCAATGGTTCTTCTTCTTGCTAGCATTGGAAAAGAAAACTTTTAAGCACAACTGGTTTTTTTGCTTACTTACACATCTGTGGAATTGCTGCCTGCAGTTCATTTTCAGTACCAATGAAAACATGGTTTTAAAGATGAAACTGAGGACAACTTTTGACTCAATAAAACTCCAGCCATAAGGTGTATATATATATATACAAAACATAGGAATCAAAAAATCACGATTTCCAGCATTACGTTGTTTTGAGAGTTTTGCAGAAGTTGTAATTATAAAGTCTTACTCTGTACATCAAGTACAGATGTACTAGGTGAGAAACCTCTTGTAATACCATAAAACACAAGATGGGTTTATATTATTTACTATGCCACTACATGACACTTACATTACCAGATCTATTTGCAAGTTACCTTTTTAGTGCACTTCTTGACAGTGTTGATTAACTCTTGCATGACCAGATCCACACTTTTTAAGCATGGTCCTTTCAGCTTGACTATCTGTTTTTTAACAATGGCTTCAAATGCCATATCTGGAGTAAACAAACCTGTTCTGTGGATATAAAAGAATACATAAGACAGTAATAAAAACATCATGTAAGAAAGATTTTTTTTTTTTACTGAATTGCAGAAGCTTACATCTGAGTAATAGCAGTCCCTACACAGACTTCCACAGAACTAAATTTTCTCTAGAAAACAGCGTAATTATAAGAATATGAAAGTAAAAACATGCCCTACTACCTTAAGATGACCGTGAGAACACTAAAGAGAGCACTGATATCATGTAATAAACCCTCTTCAGCAGTGAATCAAACTTTAGAGAAGGGATGGTTGGCAGCTGCAGCACTCCATGCACAATCACTTAACCCATACGAATCCTATAGCTGCACTTTTCTCTCCACTGAGGAAATGTGGTTCTGTTACTCAGAGTTCTCTACGGAAAATTTCACAGGTGGTCACTGCAGGATATATGAACCTATATAACAGATAGCTTACAGAACTAGTTCTAAAGAAACAGCCCTTAGTTCTCTTTGAAACACTGATTGCACAGGTCTATCTTGGCAGATAAATTATATTAAAAAGCAAACTATAAAAACATGCCCAAAACTATCAGTTCACTACCATAAATTGCTCATCAAGATATTTCTATCAAGAAGGCCAGAAAAATTCAAATACAGCACCGCAGCTACTAGATTCAACCATTTGAGTATTTACTACACAAGTAATGCAAGTAACATATTCCAAAAACACTAATAACAACAAAATTTGTGACCAATGCTTTCAAAAGATATTACATATTCACAAGTGGGTAGGAGGAAGGGGAAAACTTTTTTTTAAAAAAATGGGTATGCATATGACAAAGTATTCCTCCAAACTAGATTGATTCCAAAGTGAGATTAGGCCATTCCAAACTAAAAAAACAAAATACCTCCTCTTCCCAAACCGAATAATATACTGCAAAGACATCAATAAAGTAAAACCTCAGCCAACTCACTTGTAAATCTGTCATTTCAAGATAGTTGAGAATAAAGGCAAGGAGTTTGCCACAACACAAGCTGAAAGTTTTTTTTTTCCTTTATTAAGACACATGTATTCCCTCTAAAACTTACAACTTTTCAGGAATACAGACTTAACAGAACTGCAGACACTACCATGAAAAAAAGGCATTGATTCTCTCTGTAAAATAATTTTCCAGCATTTCCAAGTAAATTGCACATCTTTGGGCAAACCAACTGTTTAGCCCAAAATAGCTATGTGAAAAACAGAACTGTATATGAGTGGGAGAAAAAAAGCCAGCAGTGGGAGCAATGCCTTAATAACATTGCCTAGCCGTCAACAGCCAGTGTGTCCACAGGTGAAAGAGACCACACCCATAAAGCAACTGGGCTAGAAAACATGGCAGCACTTGCCTGATACCATGTATGTTCTTGATGGCATAACTTATTTCTCTCCGCAGCTCTTTCTCATTGAATTCCATCTAGGGGAACAAAATTATATGAGATCATGTAAAGGAAGTTTCTAATAAAACAGGAATATTACTTCTCCCAATAAACCTAGAACACAGGCAAGTTCAACTGGTAAAATATTAATTCTTAATTATGCTAAGCAAAGCATAAGTATTTTAAAACACTTTAACACTAAGGCTACAGGCAGCAGTAAGCCTTGTTGAAAATTATACACGTTTCCACTCCGGATATGCCAACAGCTGATGCTTGCATGATTTTGCAGAGTTGACAGAGTAGGTCAGAACAGAAGCAGGATTTGGAAGATGCAGCTTTTGGTTTGGGTGGTTTTTTTGGGGTTTTTGCTTTGTTTTGTTTTGTTTTTTTTAAAGCCTGGTGTCCTAAAGCAGCACAAATTCTGTGATTACAGTCTCTTTATCTGCCCTGTCCCATTCTACTGTTTTTCAATGAAAGTTAAGAGATGAGTGCTCTCTATAAAGCTCTGAAAGCAAACTAGATGGAAGAGAAGTTAACATCAAAACCAAAAAGGTCATTACCCTAAGCACAACTATCATCTGTTCTGTTGGACTGCTAGTTGACCTACCACATTTAAACCTTGGAACCAGCCACAACTCTGTCTGGTTCCTACTCAGCTGAAAGTTAGAGGATGTTAAGGCAGCTGAACGTAAAACAGGTGGAAAGCAAGCTTAGGAAAAATGTAAAAGAAAAATGTAAAAAAAAAAGTAAAGATACAGTTCATGGGGAAGGGAAGCTGAAGTCAACACAGTAAAAGAAAGATCAAAGAACATGTAACACAATTTCAAAGGAAACCACATTTCATTAGTTCACACCCCACTGGACCTCTGTTTATTCTTTTTCCCAAAAAATGGGTAAGCAAGGAGAGATGTATAAGAGGAGAAATGTTACCACAAAACACCAGATTTGCTTCTACTCCCAACTCCCACTATGAAAGTGCAGGACTAAAAGCTGGCTTTGGTTTAATGCATTGAATACAGGAAGTATAAAACACAAAAAAATACTATTTTCTGTAACTCAAATTTTATTAGGTACTAGCTGCTTGAACACAACTTCAATTTACCAACTGTAGTTGCTTGCCTGTGCCACCTAGCCAGAAGGAAGATGCTATTTGTGATAAAACAGTAAAAAAGCTAGAAAAAAAGAGTATGATCTTGGATTGCAATTATATTTGAATTCCTTTTCAGATTTCAGTAGCCAAAAGTAGAAACTAAGCCAAATTCTCAATTATACCTTCATGTAGTTTCTTCCAAAGTCAAGAGCATATTCTTCCAATCAGGCCTTATCTTGACTTTACTACTGTACCCGTATGAACATAAGAATATACAAATAAAACAAAAAAGAGACCAGCAACATGGATAAATACCTTCACTAGTTCAAAAGGAAAACGTTCATGGAAAATACGATTGATTTTGGCACCTCCTGAAAGTTCTAGTGTATCAACCTGATCTCCTGATCCTTCGATTCTTTTTTCAAAGTCCACTGAAAACTGTTGTACCATCCTAAATTCCAAAGAGGGGAAGGAAAAACAAAAAGCCAAACAACCATGTAAGCATGTTAACTACCAACTCTCACTTTGGTACTTTATGACTACTATTACCCATTAAAACATGCTCATGAATTGACAAAAATATCTATAACAATTGGCAGCCAAGCTATCAATCCATAAAATCCATACCTACACACATACCCAACATCTCACAGACGTAGCTCAGTATATTATTTTCTTTCTTCATAAACATTTTATTAAAAAAAAAGGCTGATTATTTAAGCATATATTAAAGTCAGCTACAAATACAGCAGAGTAACAGGCTACATTCATGTTTTATTAATTATCACAAAACTGTAAATGCTACAATTCTTTATTAATTTTTAAAATTTTTTAGGAGGTTAAAAATGATAGCAGTATTTTTAGTAGGATAAGCAAAGAAAAGTCCCAATGTTTAAGTTACAATATTTACTATATTTGAATAAAAAACACATCCACATTAAGACGCTGTTATAGAAACTTCAGAGCTCAATGGGGCAGAGGAACAGGTTGCCCAGACAGATGGTGGAGGCCCCATCCCTGAAGACATTCAAGATCAGGCTGGATGAGGCTCTGAATAGCTTGATCTAGTTAGAGATGTCCCTGCTTATGGCAGGGGGGTTGGACTAGAAGACCTTTGGAGGTCCCTTCCAGCCCAGACATTCTATGATGATATGATAAAGCCCCCAATCTTAGGGCAAAAGGTACCATCTGAAGAGACCTCACTTCTCTATAATGACCCTTTAGTCTTTCCATAATCTTTCAAAAAGATACAGTCCAATAGCATGATGCAAATCAAGCCATTAAGCGGATCCACTGCTGGAAAATTTGGAAGAGATCCCTAAGGAACTCACTTTTCCACGACACAAAGCTAGCCAAAGAAGCAGTGCTAACATGGCAATGTGGCAGCTGTTACTACCACAAGCTTCCTTGGTTGTGCTTAGATTTCTGCAGCAGGAGCATTTAGAACACACACAAAAGAATTTCTCCACTTATGGAAGATTCATGGACAGCAATTTTATTACTCTTTTGTTTTTGTTTTTAATTACAGGCATTTGGTCATACAATTTGAAATGACAAATTCTGCCAAACATAACATTATGTATCAACTGTACATAAACCTTAGAAACCTATACAGCCAGGTTGACAGAATTA